TACAAGTCTTTGGAAGTGTCCCTGCAATGTTTCAATCACGTCATCATGGAGGTCGTTCTCTGATTCATTGTCCGTGCAGGACCCAGGCAAATTCAAGATATCCACCAACTTTGACAGGCCATTGTCCTCAGGTGAAGTCAAAATGTATCAGGATTCATTTGCTATGCGGTAGCCATCGGGTAGCCAAGCTGCAAATATGGAGGATGCAAGTTTGATAGTTATGATTAGCTATGGATGATGACACGAAATAAGGATACCTATCAATAAAATAAGAACTACCAGTACGAAGCGACAATAGAATTGAAATACCCCCGCACATTCACCAATGCTAGCAACAGCAATACGACCGGCCGCCTCCATGTTGCCCGGTGTCTGCCTGAACTGCTACCATTTGCTGTTGCTGTTGTGAATTGGGGTCCGGTGTAGGAGGTCCATGATAGTCTTCATCACGTATCAAAGAGTGCTCACTCCCAGGAGCACCCGCTGCAGCATTACGCTGTATATTTACATATCAGACACCCAAAACACAGTTATGAAAATAGACCGGGCACACCTGTCGACCCTGCGCAAAAGGAACATCGACAACAGGCGGCATTGCATGATGGGGCAGCCAGGTGAATAGGTGTTGTAGGTAAGTTTTGAAGGTGGCGGCGGCGGCGGCTGGTGATGTGGTGGTGGTGGTGGTACGTGGTACGGGTAGAGGAGCTGAATGAGGGGTTCTCGTCATAGCGAGCCTGAGTCTTTTGAGACGCCCAGGGCGCTGCTGAGGTCGTGACCTAGAAATCTGAGAATGCTGTAATGAATGATGTGAGATAAAAGAAAGACCCGCTGTTGCACACACTTGATGCATTCCATAGAAGAAATTGAGTCCTATATCGTAGCCATCATGACCTTGCTCGGGGATCTCCGCCTGCATACAGGTCGGTAAAGAAAGGAATGAGAAAGGGAGTACATACGCCAAGAATACGGTCATCGTGTGCAGCGAGTGCACTACATCGCTCCTTAAATTCTGGGTCAAATGGTGGTGAGTATGTAGCCTGAGTGGCGTCAATGAAAACTTGCCATTGGACCAATCAAGGCAGCTGGCTTTGGCAGATTCGTCGATGGTGTCCATCATGTATTCGTGTGCTTTGAGGGCTTCATTGGGTTTACCTCCCGAAAGGAAAGCCTGACACCGTTTTTGGTTTGCAGTGAAACGTAAGGACTTGACGTCCCAGCCGAAGAGCTAGACAAAGCACTCAGTTATGAAAAATATTATGTATATATCATCTTGACGCACCACGGTCAAGTCCTCAAATATTTCATGAATGGTTTTCGATGAGAAAACAACGGCGCTGCAGTTGACAGCGGTAGTGAAGTGGTCAGCAGCTTCGTCATAACGCGCACCACTCAAGGCCGTGGTTCCGAGCTGAACGCGTATATATGTCTAATGTGCGAGTTACAAAGATCACTGTTGATGACCGAGCGTGACTCCATGATACTTACTTCTACGACATGACACCCGAGAAGATCGATATTCTGACAAACGGCAGCGAGTTCTTCGTTGAGCACCATTGGTTCCTCGCGTTGATCTGCGTTGAAGAGTGCAATGGCCTAAAACACGCAGTGAAGTAGAGAATATGCAAGACAAATTGAAGCTACCTTGATCAAGAGAAGAAAATGGTTGGCTTTTGAATCTTGGTTCGTGAACACGGATGCGACGTCGAATGCTATCCTTGCCTCCCAGACGCGGCCTTTTCCGCAGAGGGCGATGCCTTTGGAGATGTAGCCTGTCAATGAAGGCTGAATACTGACGGACTATGTCATGAATGAAGATTAGCCTTTTGTCAGAAGACCACGACGGGTCGGTATAACTCACGTCGATTGCATCCTGAAGAGCATGGTCCCAGTCGTGATTTCGGGCCATGATAAATGAGCGATTGGCATAAGAAGTATAAGGGTTAGCATCGGTGTCGATCTCTTGGGTGAGTAACTCTTCAGCGGTGTCCAGGTCCCCAATGATGCATGCATTGCGGGCTGTAGTAATATCCAAGATCTACACGAAAAATGCTCGAACTGCGTTAAGTATGAGAGTCAAGGATGTAAACTCGCGATTGAATTGAAGTCACTCGGTACTTGATACTCTGAGATCTTTTTATCGTGACCTCCGCTGAGGATGTGCTTGCCATCCACAGAAAATGTGACACATGTCAGGCTGGATGGGTGCTTGAATATTGCGATGGTTTGCTGATCTGAGAGCCGCCAGAGACGGAGATGGTTGTCATCAGATGCAGAAACGACAAGGGTGCCAGCGGGATTAATGGCAATGGCGTAGATACTGCGAGTATGGCCTTCCCAGGGATGACCGACCTGCTCCCAATTTAATGGATCCCACTCCCGTATGGTAGGATCGTCTTTATTGCCTGCTGAAAGAAGGCGTTTGCCATCGGGTGTCCACGCGAGTGTCGAGTTGTGTTTTGTGAAATCCACGTGACCCCTGAAAGATGCGACGCGCTCCCTCGTGCTTGGATTATAAATTTCGTTATTGCTATCTGTTGCGATGGCAAGAAGTTTTCCAGATGGCGAATATCGAACGCAGTTGATCTTAACATCACACTTGATTGGTTCCCCTTGCATCTGCCATGTTTTGGTACTCCAAAACTTCGTCGTTTCGTCCCATGAACCAGTGGCCAGCATCGTACCACCAGGAGAAAAATGCAGCGAGGTGATCCACTTGGAGTGCGCTTTGATGGGTTGAGTGATGGATTCGCCTGTTTCTCCGTGCCAGACAATGAGCTCTCCCTCTGTATCACCGCTTGCTATCATTTGACCATCTCGTGATACCGCCAATGCCCACCCTCCACCGCTATGTCCTTCCATCTTCTTCAACACAACACCTGTCTTCAAGTCCCACAGACGAAGTGTCTTGTCATTCGAGGCTGTGACTATTCGTCGCTTGTCGGGGAATACTGCGACTGCCTTTACGATCCCCTGATGATCTTCAAAAGTTCGAAGGGGTATGGTGCTTGACATTAATTGGAGGTTGATGATGTTGAGCACGGTCCAGGGATTGTGGGTGTCTTTCTCTAAGCTGAAGAGGTGCGTGTATTCCGCGTTTTTATGCTGCTTCACCATGCCGCTAACCTAGTACCTAGTTTCCATATATGAGAACACGAGTTCACCATCACCGTTCCAGCAAGAGTGATCTCTACGAGTGTTAATTGCCTTCTTCTACTGCACTGTGTACATGCATCCGACTCGTGTCTCCACAGCTTTCAGAATATGTCATCGATCACGGAAAACACAAGTTCAATCCTCTCTTGCCGAACAAGTTAATGCATCAAAGATGGTTGGAATTAGCTCGTGTTGCCGAACAAGATGTTGGATCACTGGATGTATGGATGGATATAAATGGGTGCCCTTCATGTGACGTTGTTGGGACGGACATGCCAACTAAAGTCCACTGCAGTCTGGACCTTGTGCGTGACTCGCCCCCTCCTTCGTCGTCCTTTCGGGTTTTCGGTTTTCATTGTTTCTCCAAGTGCGCTAGTATACTATATTCCTCTATTACTTTCATCGTCCAGTGTGCACTTCTGCTGATCTCTTCAAGTTTATATCATTTATCATTTTGTTCATAGTACTTTGTCCATACCTTACTCCTCGTCCGTGTTTGACGCGCTACCTCGTATAGTATTGACTACAACTCAGGCTGAACTTGATTCTGAAGGGATTTCATGGTCATGTCATGACTCACTGGCATTATCCTAGGCCTACTTCGCCTCTCGTCTTGCTCTCGTGAGTTTCTTACGCTCCTTGCATCGAATATTTTTTCATCATTTGGTCTTACAGTTGGCATCCTGAAGCCTGAGTTCTAGCTGCACATACGTGTGCTTGATTCCCATTATCCGTCCGAGTCTGTTCGGGCTCGATGTCTCGCATCCTGGCAACATCCTTCTGCATCCTGGATTGCGTCCTAATCTGGGCATTCTCCTTTCCCCATCGGTTTTATATCCTGACTACTGGCCTTTCTTTTCCTCTAGTGCACCTGGCTGGTTGCCCCTTCTTCCGGCTGGGTGGGCCTACCTCATCTCTCGGACTCCAGGTTGCCTATAAAACTAGGCTGGAATCCTCCAGCCTCACCACACACCAGTCATCGACAACATCTACAAAGTAAATTGCCATTGGGCAGCAGCTCTTCATTCAGACCGTCGAACAATAGTGTTGCTGCTCCTCATATGGGCTTGTCTCTATGCGGGATCCTTCCACCCTTGATTCTAGCTGGGGTTTTCACACACGACTTCTTCCATTGCATTTTTCCCTCTGTTCTACCGGCTCTCCCTCATCGTTATCTTCTCAGGTCACTTCGCTTCTCTTCTGGTTCACGAGATGCGGCGTCCTGTGGTTTCACTCGAGTAGTCCGTGACATCTTCTCGAATTCGTATGTGCTGGCGTCTTTGCACTTGCACTTGCAAACGGCTTTTCGTTTGATGAGCCGCCGGTGATATTGTTGATCTTGTTTGAAATGTTTGGCGAGACAGTCGAGATATTATATACATGATGTATTGGGTTGAACGTTGCTCCACCTGGAGATGAGTGAATATTTGACTTTTGAGGAGTGTTCCGATAAAAAAAGATTGTCGTCGGCAGGTTTTGAGCCTGGACAATCCAAGAGAAACTCTGTTGTGTATACCACTGTCGCCAGGACAAAGTTGAGATGTACCTCGGGGGAACTGTACATACTAAGTGAATGTCGGTGTAATAAAGATGAAAATTCATTTCTTGGCAGGTTTCAAACCTACTCAGTCCAAGAGAACAGATTTCTAATTTGTTCTGGTGCTGCACGTGGGCCATGACTATTGAAAATAGACCTCAAAGGATTCATGTATGAGTGGTTGTTCAAGGGGTATCTGCAACTGTTAGTAGTAGTTGCCGACGTAGCTTCAAGGCTACTTGGATTTCTCTATCAAACATTAGTACTTACACTCCAACACACATCAAGCTGACCATGATCTCCCTCGAATGGCGAATAGATTTCGTTTCATAAATCATAAATCATATACATATGCATATACATAACACACGACATACACGAGTAAGTAAACCAGCACCAAAACTCTCTTCACAAACAGACGTCAGTCTCCATAAAATTACCGATGACCACCCTGCTGTGCCCAATCAGTTCCAGTCTCCGGAACGATGCCCATTGGGTCATGCGCGTCAAATATACGGTGGTAACGGCCTCCTGCGCGTACATCGAGGGCACGGCCTTGAGCCAATGCGGTATGTATGGCTTGTTGAAGTGTCTCGTTGGGACGCCGCGGCGCGTACATGTCAAATTTTATGGAACGCATGTGTTCTGGGCAGTGTTCGCTGCAAACAGGCGTCAAGGGATAACCATTGATCCTGTCACGGAGTACATTCGGGTCCTGCTCGTACAAAATGTGATTGTATTTGGAGTCAGGCCAGCGAGACTGGGGATTGGCTGGCGCCGGAGTCGGGACGGCGATATGGGACGGAACTTCTCGAATGTTTACGCGTGAGCTTTGTGCGAAGCGGGTGAGTACCGGATGAATGGATCGGGGGTTAGGAAGAGGGGCAGGAGCGTGGGGAGGAGGGATGTTCGAACGACCAGCGCTCGACTTGGCGCGAATACGTTCTGCCAATCCGGCACTGCGAGTATGGTCGTCAGGGATCTGTAGTACACCCGCCGAAGCTTGATGAACAGTGGCCTCATGTCTCTGCATTCTGCGGGACATGGGAGGGTAGGCTTGTTGTCCACTTGAATTCGAACCACAAACAGGCAATTGGAGCCTGATACTTTGTGAGTTTAAAGAAACCGCTCTGAAACCGCTGCGAGGCAGGCCCTGGGTTGGTTCAGGGGAATGGGGAAACTTGGCCAGCAAACCCTCGCGTGCGTCAGAGTTCGCGCGAGTCGGACCATGGTAATAGGTGTGTTGCGACAGTTTGCCGTGGTAGATCTCGAGCATCCCCGGAGCTTGCTCGACGTAGACGATGTCGGACTTTTTAAGGGGGTTCTTACCACGGTACACGGGTTTGAAAGGATCGGCACGAGGCTCGCGCATCCTCCCTTGTGAAGAGAATCCGTGTGGCATCGACTTGGAGTGCTTAAGCGGCGCTGTCTGGTCGTCGTTGGACCTGAGGAGTATTGATTAGTATTAGTATGATTACAACGAGTAGAACATGAAAGCGGTAGGCTCACTTTTGGAACATCTTCTTGAACGAATTCATAATTGATATAGGAAAACAAGGAGATGTAAAGTTGCAAATAATGAGGCGGGAGTGTGTGTAGTGGTGTAGGGTACCTGAATGTCAGTATATAAAGGTTGGGCTGCTGTGGACGCACCATGGTATCCACAACCACAACCACAAAGCAATTTCTCAATATCCGAAGATGATACATTGTAGATGCTCTTTCTAATGCTCCGATTGCCCGCCTAGAATCAAAGCAATGCCATTGATGTCGCCCCATTTGCACCACAAAGGTAGACAATGCGACAACCAAGCAATTACAAAGTAAAGTTGCCACAGGCCGGCCCAGTGAATGCATCGCGCATCTTTCTCGTTAACTTTCGAGCTTATAGCTTGAACACGCGATGAAGATTACCTGCAATGACCATCAGCACGCTGACCCGGATGTACGGGACACAAGGATATGGCACGATGTATACAAAACCACTGATCAGAACAGCTGGTATCTTCCTTGCCTGTAGTGCGTTCACTCTGGCGTCTCAAACAATCTGAAGGTGGTGCAACAAACAAGTTGATATCAATTCCAACGGAATTACGCACACGATCACTATAGCCTCCAGTATACCTGGAGGATAAGTAGACTTGAAACCGATCATAGCCCAGAGTGATGCTTGCATTATTGATCTCTAGAAACGTCGAGATTCTCTAGCTCGCATCAGGATGAATGGATCGTCTGCTTACTGTTTCCTGTTTCATGGTCAACACTGCAACGGAAACTAACTGTCCAATTCGCATAGAGCCCATATGCCTTTACAAAATCATGCGCTAATAGCCCTAACAGGAGCTACTGTCGCAGTCCAGAGCTGCAGAAGGACATGATCATAATGAGCATGATGATGGGTTTCACTTTGGAATGCAATCGTAAACCCTACAAGGAGTGACGGAGTCTGCCCGTAGCAACGCACTGAACTGCAACACAGCACGAAGTGACCCGACGGTGGATAATCGAATGGCATTCGCAATACACAGTTTGGTTTGGAAAATATTCCACCATGCAATCACCATGTGAGTTTTGAATAAAAGTATATTTGTCTTTGTTAGGAATGAAAGCTCGGCTGAGTAGCCTACTTAGGGGAAATATTGTAACGAGTAAAGAATACAATTTTGAAATCCAGTACGTAGCCGATATCGATGGGTGGTTTACAAACGTTGAATACAAAGGATCAGTGATGCTAAAATAAAAGATCGAGGAAGCTGCAAAAACATTCAGATTGGAAGTATACGGTCTTCCACCCTTAGGCTATCCACTCCATGGGTGGTTTGTAATCAGGCATTAGACTGGTCGCACGCTTAAATCTCTCCGCCCATGTATCCTCCTCGCGTTTCAGCATCGTCAAGAAGTTTGTGTACTGGTGAACTCGATTCCGCGATACAAGGTATTTTGAATACACGGCGTCGATGAGTTGCTTGATGGACTGTGGATCCCCCTCATCGTATTCCAATTTGATTCCACCGAGCTCCAACTTACGCAGGCTTAGTGCTCGCCGCCAAGTAGAACAAGGAGATCATCGTACCACACGCGACTGCCTCTCTCGCTGACACCCAGAACCTTCTACCTTTGAAAATTCACGAGGCACTTCAGGCACATTGTTTGTGCTGCTGGCCTCAATGTTATTGGGTGGTAATACTAATGGTGTTAATAATGATGCCATTTGGTTGGTAGGAAGTGATTTGATGAGTTATTGATAAGATTCTTGATTGAAGCATCAACAACATTTTAAAGTGCCGCTTGGAGTTGGCCGTAATTGGCGGAAAAGCACGCAGTTCACTACTTCACGGTCGTTTTACGGTCCTTCAATGATTCTACCCCAAAGTGACGACAGCGCCCAACCCGAGCGATGTCGAAGAGCAACGCGTGCATCAAACGTGCACTCAGGCCATAGCAGCATTGTCCAAGTGGAGATGCTCGCTTCTGGGGCCCATAGGTCTAGCTCGAGCAGTCACTGAGCGAGGCCTCTAGAGACGTCTTGGTACCAAGTTGGTTTGCGTTGCCAAAAGGGTGGTTGATTAGGAGAGAATTCCAAACACAGAGTGAGTTCCCTTGTAAAATAAGCAAGCTGATGAGCATTGAAGACGTCGATGCAAAGAATAGTAAACTCAAGGCGCACGTAGCTGGCACCAGCTACACGGCGCTTAGGTTTAGGCTGTGAAACGAACACGTACCTTACTTATGCGACCAAGTGCGTACCATAGCTATAGGACTCATTGTCCTGTGCTAAAATTAACATCGACTGGCTCCACTGACAGTCGGTATCTCTCATTGGTTATTGGAAAGTTGCGTGGCACCTGAAATATGCCTCTCTCGAATCTATCCTTGCATACAAAGTGGTGAAGCCATCCTGTGAGTTAGAATCTCTTAAGCGTGTCAAGATCAGCCTGTGGACTCACCACTGGCAGTGATTTTGTCAGTCAATGTGTCTGGCCCATAATATTCCTGAGCTGAGACCCTGACCAGGGAATAGAAGCCCACCAGATGATGCGAGGTCATACACATTGGATACGAGGTGTTACGCACTTGCTAGGACCTATAAAGTGGCATGCAGGTCAGGCGAGATGAAGAGGATGAGACAAGAGTCAACACCATGGCAATGTCCCCAAACGGCATTACTGTTGCAAGCAGAAACCATGATGGGGCAGAGGGGGTGAGGTGTCGAGACAGGAAGTATCATCACCTAATGGAAAGGACATACTTGGGGTGCACTCGGCCAATGCAATGGTGTCTGAACAGCATGTGGTCTTGCTTTGTTGTATCCAAAGGGCGGAAATTGTCAAGGTCTGTATGATTCCCGTGTGTAAGCAGCAACAACTTCTGATGGTGGCTGCTTCCGATGTAAGTTCTGGATCGTCGATCATCAACGATCCCGGACAGGGGCTTTGCTGTCGCAGTTCACGCGTTTGGGAGCCAGAGTTAGTAGACACCCGACTAGTACCGGCGTGCCGCTGCATCGACGACAGATAGCATCTGTTCAATACAACCGAAATTCGGGCCTAGTGATATATGTTCCGGTGTGCGTCGTCGTTTTGTCGCATCTAGGATATCCAAGCACAGCTCCAAAAGCTTCAACAAAGGCGTCATTGCGATCGTCTCGCGGCGCACGTCGATTATCACAGATACAATCATCTCTTCGGCCAATGGTCTGCTGCCCCACACCCTCTAGAAACCTCTCACAAGACGGCGTTCTTGTACTTGCGGTCATTACTTTGCTGTAATAATATCTTTGACATAAATCATTCAGCGAACAGCAGGAATGTGATAATATAAGCCCCTTACCTCGCACATCACATACAATTCGACATCATGCCTCAAGGAGAGCGATACCATACGCTGCTATGTAGGCTTGACAGACTCAGGGGATTCTGGATCATCCATCCCATTAACACTCGAGAGCAAATGAAACTGGACGTACTCATACATGTCCTTGATAAGAATTCTCTATCGAGTTGGGTTGGGCCGAAGTACAATGCAGATGATAATCCTGGTTTCTACCCTGTCTCCTTCCTTGAGCGGCTTCGTGTTGTTGAAGAACTAGTAAATACATAAGAGGGTGCAACGCTCCCTCGTCTTGTAACTAAGATAATTCAAGAAATCATGATCAAAGTTGTATGTACCCTATCTCGAAGGATTCTGAAAGGTTCTTGATACTGCGGTTATCAATGACTGGTACTAGGTGTTATACAAGGAATGAGGCATGCCCTTCACCGCGACCAGAATCCCTAAGGTCTATGGTCACAGAAGTGGAGCCATTTCAGATGCGGGATCTTTTATCACAATGTAATCTGCGAGTAAAGTACAGTAGCGTAGATCATCATTAGTATGAGAATTTAATGTTAGCAAACCAAGGTATATGTCTAGGGCTCTGTAGGGTCTGAGTGAGCGCTCAAGAACGGACTACAGGTACCAGGTTTAGGCATAAAAGCGCCACTGGATTGAATATGGAGTTTTTTTTCAATTTCATGGTCTTTCGGGGTCGGAGACCCTATGTCGGATTTTCGCGGGGGGCTTACTCCTGCTTATCTATCGTGATTATGTATGCGGTCTAATGTGTTTGAGTAGATGAACACGTACTCCGTCAGCATGGTGTCGGGCGAATGCCGACGCTGATTTCGTACGTACAGGGGGAGAATGTGGTGAGTGGCGTTGGGTTCTTCGCCCCTCTTTCCCATATCGACTAATCGTCTGAATCCTGCGTGAATATGGAGTTAGGGCTGTGAGCACTTGACCATCTCAAGGGATCGAGATCAGGGACTGAATGGCAGGGTCCGTGACTTCAACTGACTAATCAGTCCCCTGAGGGGTGCTAGAGTTCTAATTTGCCACTAGCCGCTACAACAGGACTGAAAGTGTTATGCAAATTAGCGAAAGCTAATTGGATGGTAATAGTAATTAGGGGAAGCGCCACCTACGTAGAGCAGGCGTGGCGTGAAAACTCAACTCAACTATCGACAGCCAAGTCCGTAGTGAGATACTCGAAGTGGATTGTAATAAGTGTAACATCACCTGTATAACCGATTTGTAAGTCCAAGCAAATAGAAATGGGTTGGGGTTAGTTAAAAACCGCAAAATTAAGGAAATGTCACCACTGCTAATAGCAAGTGAATAGGTCACCCTGAAAGATGGCGTGCGAGAAAAGGTAAAATGCATAACACTGCCGGAGGTCCTGGTGCCTTGGCAGACCCCGCTTGACGTTAGCTTCCTTTGAGGACCCCAGTGTCTGAGCCCATCCAAAGTCCAATGTAGATACAGCCATGATGGAGAGCGAGAGATTCATCAATGACGGGATAACACTGGATCAATTCTCTTCTAGCATATGTTCCTCGACGTGAATCGCGCAAGGCTCTACTTGAGTCCTATCGCGCATCAAGCCTTCCCAACGCCATCGACCAACCATAAGGACAAACGCGGTGACCTGAGACATTGTTCGCACAAAATGCGCCCACATGTCCGATCCATGAAAGATAAGACAGGGGTGTAGAAAGAACAGCTCTGCGGCGGGTATCATCCACCTAGTCCGAAATCAGGGGGCTGTAGTGCTGAAGATAGGGCGGCGTAAGGGTGGGTCGAAGCCTCCAGGTCCTGATGCGCAAGTGCTGCCGCCGCTTTACCCCATTGGTGTACCAAGTAGTTTGACGAGTAATTGCGCAGCAGAGCCCCCAGACGTCCCATTTGTGCCTAACAAGACGTGCGTGGGGCAGGTACAGCCAAGCATCAAAGGCTGGGCGTATCCAAGGAACACTCGTCTTTTGAGTAGCTATGTTAGACCAGAGCAACGTAAGTGATACTGAACATCTGCCAATAGCTTGATGTCGTGCACATGGAACACCTAGTCTCGATTGGATTATGCTGATCAGAGTCATGAAGGCACATTCCGGGACGGGGCAAGTTTCGAT